GAGAGAATTCGGTATGAATGGCCAATATATAATTACAAGATAATCTATAGGACGAATTGCCGCTCTTAAATTACATTGTTAAAATGCTATATTGATAGAGCACGAGTATTCATTCATAAAAATATGAAATCCGCAATTATATTGACGATTAACAATCATAATAAAAATTTAAATTTAAGTTAAAAGAAATAGAAAATTAGCTAATAAAGAAAATAATTATTTCAATTTATTTATATTTTGWACTCTTTTAMAAAWTTTGGGGTATTATGCATTTTTTATTATTAAATTCCATATTCYTGCTTATATACATTGATAGTACATACATCTKCTTAGTTTGTATATGAATATACATTAGTCTTGTTTCAAAATAAAGGTAAGCTAAATTCAAAATAAGGTAAATTTAATTTCCMAATAAAATATTAAAATCATGATTTTGTATATTTAAAGCAATTTYACATGCATMTATATATTATAAGTAGTGGAAYTATGATATGGCAAAATGTGCAATAGCTCAATAAAAATATTATATGGTGTGGCGGTGCTATATTATATACAGGTTTACAAAAGTGTCTTTGATTATTGTACAAATAGCTCGGCGCCGTTACTGGGGAATGTGGCAAAGACGACTTCATTGAAGTCGTTGGGCTGATAGCGCTCCAAGAGATGAGCAGGCAATTGAGCATAGTACTCGCGCTTGAGTACGTTGACGTAATCTGAAGCAGCCTCTACTGAGTCGCACATGGCCACAATGCAACCGCCCCAGCTGTGAACGGAGTTGAATGCATTTTTATTATATATTTGATTAGAGATTAGGCAGATTGAAATATATCAATAACTACTCACCCCGCGCCCGTAACACGTGCGCTGACGCCTTGCTTGACAGATAAGGCCACAAGGCGCTCTAAATCCGGATGTGAGCACTCGTAGAGCTCGCGCAGGCTTTGATGGGACTGCTGCATGAGCTGACCCAGCTGCTCAATGTCCTGTTTGCTGGAGCGGCGTTGCAGCTGCTCGCAAATYTGACGAAACTGGACCACACGCCCCGACTCTGTGGATAACAATTAGATAAATATATACTTGTAATAAATATGTAATTACTGAAATGCATTCAAAACTAACCCTGGATAACATGCAAGGCGCGTTGGCGCAGCTTGAACTGCTGCATGTGCTGGGTGCTGGACGTYAGGAAATCTGTTTCCAGCTCTTGTTCCGTGATGCCGAGGCCCTCGCAAATGTCCTCGCGTGTGTAAAGCGATTTTTTCAACTGCTGATCAATGAGCTTCACATATGAAGCATTATCCAAATGACAAGCCTCCTGGAGATCAATGAATCTAATAAGCTCCTTCCAGTTAGGCA